ACACACACACACACACACACACACACACACACACACACACAATAAGCTCTGACAACGTTGCAGGCACCTATTTACATTATTTCATGAAATCCTCAGTCTAGTCCTATAAGGTTGAGTTTCCACTTTCCTAAAGAAGAAACTAAAACAGAGGGGTTGAGTAATGTGGCTAAGATCTGGAAACCAATTAACAAGAGTAATCAAAATGAACTTATCATATGACTTAAATCTACTAATTACTCAATCTGTCTTTTATCTGTGTACCTACCCCACAGCCTGCCTATCTGTCTGTTCATCCATCCACACATTCCTCTATCCATCCACCCATCTCTCTATCTCTTCATCTAACTAAAAGAGTAGAAATCTGCATGTGTAGGATCCTCACTTTCAGGTAATAAAAGAGTAACCCCGCTGAACTCTGAGCGGATGTCTCTCTTCACTGCTTTCAGTGTGCGACCTGGGGAGCTGTGACTTGCCGCCGGTGCCTCACTGTGAAGGTGGCCTCCAGCCTACACTGACCAATCCCGGCGAGTGCAGACCCATCTTCACCTGTGGTAAAGTCTCTGTGGATGTAGAGGAGCGAGTGATCACTTTTTCCTGGACCAGGAAGATGGCCTCCTTCTTGGGAACTTGTTTCAATATCATGTTCTTTCATGTATTTCAATTCACCAAATCTGGTTTCTGGATATGACCAGGATAGAGGAGTTAAAGCCACACCTTGGCTGAATTTTCTAAAAATCCTTCCAACTATGTGCTGCTGAAGATGTGCCAGAGATGGACACAGCTTAGGCACCTCTATCTTGGGTCATATTAAAAGGCCTTTAGGCTTGCGGTGGGGAGGACTCAGAAGCCTGTTTTTATATGCCCTTTTCATCTTCTTTCTCTACACCCCCATATCTCACTGAAAGGAAGAAATGTTCCTTTGGCATGGCCTCACCAATAGACTTTATTCTCAAATGATAGTTATTTTTCTTTTCTTAGGTTTACATATTGAATCACCACCAACTGCTGTAATTTAAGTTTAGAAGTACACACACACACACAAAAAAAAGAAGTGTCAAGAAAAGAAAGTCTGTCATTAGCTATTGAGAATGTTGTTGTTGTTAAGTGCCGTCGAGTTGCAGGTGACTCATAGCGACCCTATGAAGGAGAGTCCTCGACGCTTGGGTGCCTTTCATCCTTTCTCCAGGTTCATAGGGTTTTTGGAGGCAAGCTATTATGGAAGTGGATGCTACTGCTCTTTCCAAGCTTGTTTTAATCGGGGAGCTCCACCCCATTCTCTGTCCGCATTGGGTACCCAACCTTTAATGCATTTGACACATCACCGTGTCACAGTGTTCAGCCTCACAGCAACCAAAAGTGACCGCACATGGGACGGCTACTTGTACACCAGGGCTATATGACCTAGAGGAATGTCTGAACAAAAGCTCACTTTAAATCAAGTGGAGTTTTTAGAATCACTTGAGTTCTTAGATGTGAACCCTTGAGGGTGGAAAAAACCCCACATCACATGTGAAGGAAGTTACAAATATGCAAAAGACAGAATAGTAGGCTTTAGTGAACATTTATAAAATGTAACTGGGGACTCGACACAATGGCTGACATTCTTTTTTTTAAACATTGTTGGAGAAACCTACAATTGCAGAGTATTGTTCTAGATACTGAAGAAAGGCTAGAATAACTTAAAGAACAGCCTTACAGGATAAAGGATAAAATCACTTTGTAGCATATAAAAATGTTTAGCGGTTCACAGCCTAGCATGCTAAGGTTTTCGTACAGTTCCCTCCATTTTAGAGGGTCTGTGGAAATCAATATCTGTAAAGGCCTTTTTTATTCCAGATGGACAGAGAAAGGCAATAGAGCGGGGCCTGAAAAGCCTTCACTCCTGCGTGATGATTCCTTGCTTCACATCTTTCCTTTTGATTAACGTTCTTATTCTAGTTATAATTGAATGTTCTGCAGCCCTTGAACTTGGCTCACGTGCACTAACAATTTAATATTCTGAGTCTAGACTTTACATTATGGCTGAATATTCATGAACTCTAGCTGGATGCAATGCTCAGGTCGCAGAACTAAGAGCATCTCTTTGTGCTGCATCTCAGCCTGTAGGAAAGAAGAATGCAGAAGGGAGTCCCCGCCTTCCTGCCCCCCCCACCGGACCCCGGCCCTTCGCAAGACCCAGTGCTGTGATGAGTATGAGTGTGCTTGTAACTGTGTCAACTCTACAGTGAGCTGCCCACTTGGGTACCTGGCCTCAGTCGTCACTAATGACTGTGGCTGCACCACAACTACCTGTCACCCTGACAAGGTAAGGGCTGCTGGTTCTGGCTGGGGTGATGGTCAGACATCTGATCATGATGGAAGATTCACTGCTCCTCAGACTTCTACTGCTGCCCAGACCGTGTATTGCATGGCTTAGTGAGTAGACAATCAGGCGTCCATCATCAACCTACATGAAAATATGGTTCATTCAGAAGGCACCAAAATTCTGCTTTGCACTCAGCATGGCTACTTGCATAAGACATCATTTCTTTTTTAATTGTTTTAATTGATATTTTATCAAAAGTTTGCAGAAAACTTGGATTTCCATTTATTCATTCATTCATTGTTGTACATTTTCCTCCCTAACCCAGTTTGCTTTTCTTCTTTTCTTTTTTTTTTTAATTTTTTTTCTCTTTTCTTTTTACAAACCCTTGTGTGCTTTTCTTTTTAAAATAATTCTTTCATTGTTGCACAATTTCCTCTCTCCCCACCAGCCCCCAGTACCCTTTGCTATGCACCTCTTATTCTGGAATATTGTCATGTAAAAAAATACTTAATCATATATTTCTTTTAGATAGTTCTTTCCCTCATATATTTAAATGCAGTGTTCATTATTTATCCCCTCTTTTTCCCCCCCTTGTTTCCCCAACCCCCAGATCAGTCCTGTTTATTAACAGTGGAATCGTGCAATATTTGTCCTTTCTTGACTAAGATATTTCACTCAGCATAATGTCCTCCAGAGTCACCCATTTTGTTTAATATTTTATGAGTCCCTTGCTTTTCAGTGCTGCGTAGTGTTCCATTCATTTGTTGATGGGCACTTGGGTTGCTTCCATCTCTTTGCTATTGTGAGCAATGCAGCAATAAGCATGGGTATGCATCTATCTATTTGAGTGGCAGTGCTGGTTTCTCTAGGGTATATGCCCAGCAGTGCAATTGCTGAGTCAAATGGTATTTCTCTTTCAAAATGTTTGAGAAAGTGCCATACTGCCTTCCAGAGTGGTTGCACCAAAGACTTGGTTTCAAAGAACTATGAAGAACTTTCAAAGAACTTCAAAGAGCATAGTTCTATTTTCAAAGAACTTATTTGTAGACTAGATAAGGAAATAGTATGATTGAACAGATCATTATTAAAGTAGTTAATAGTTTACTCACTTGCTATTAATTCATCCATCCATTCAATGAATGTTTACTGAGAAAGTATTTATGCTTTTACAGAACTGTTACTGTATTAGTTACTATGGGAGAAACCCAAGATGCAATCATTTCTTATTGGTACATATGAAAGAATATAAACTGGATGCAATAATGTGTAAACGGATGACATTAGATGTGAATAGCAGTCTTATAGAGTAGAAGTCTATCAAGAGGAACTATCAGAAAAGCTTTAATTAGAGGCAATTGACATGAAGAATGAGACTTGAGATGAGCCAGAATTGCAGCAGGAAGGACCATTGACAACTTGCTGGGTTATTGAAAGACAGCCTTGAAATAAATGACCAAGAGAAGCTTTAGTTGTCTTTTCCTAACACTTGTGAAGGGCAAGAACAGAATTCACTTATTGGAATGCTCTGGGTCACTTGTTCCCCCTGGGTGCTCTTCCAGCTCAAGATGTCTAAGTTCTTTTCTACCCCACCCCCACCCCCATAATAATTCTTTTTTTAAAAAAAAAATTTTACTCAGGTGGCCTAGTGGCAAGAAGCTGCACTGCAATCCCAGAGGTGCACCGTTCAAATCCACCATATGCTCTGCCGCAGAAGGAGGGACAATCTCCTCCTGTACCAGTCACATCTGATTTGACAGTACAAACACACAAAAATAATAAATAAAAAAATTTACTCAGATTTATTCACAAAGTTTGAATATATTGTTTTTCATGAAAGATCCTTCCTATTTCCTTCACCCCACCCACCCATCTACTTACTAATTCTTGGTATTGTCTGGCATTCAATTTTTGCCAATATATAAGATAGAAAATATCTTGCATTTTACATTTACAGTGTTCTTATTGCTAGCTTTCACTGGTCAAATAGAAATACAAAGGCAAATAAATTGCAAAAGTCAAGTTTTCACAAATATTCAGTCTTTTGTGCATATATATATGACAAAGTTACCAGGCTGTATGTGCCATTTGTTTCTTTTTATAAAATTTTATATTTGATCAAATACTCTCCTTACTGTTATACTAAATCATTTCTTTCTATATTTTTAATCAAAGTAATCTAAGTAAGTATAGCTTGCATACAAAGATGGCGTGTCAAAGTTCTTAAGAAGTAGTAACAGGTATAACAGCTGGCGATTGCTGGTGTTTTTTTGCCTCTATTCCTTTTCTCCTTTCTCTATTTGGTTCCTCCCCCTTCTATTAATGTTTCTTATGTGCCTTTCATCTCTAGTAGTTCCTACATTTGGTCTGTGGGAGCAGCTAGACCATTTGTCCTATAGTATGTCAGCCATTCTGGATTTAACCAATAGCTTCCTCAAGGTGTTGATGTATTTTCCCATCACCTATATTTCTAGTAAACTAGATCTTACATTTAGTGAACTAATTACATTCAAGTTAATTCTTAGTGGTAGAGGGAGTTAGAAAAATACACAATAGTCAATGTTGTGTGTTTTCTACTGTGTCATGCCAGGAAATATATAGTGTTCAGTGGTTTCCTTTTTATTTATTTATTCATTCATTCATTCATTCATTTATTTATTTTTGTGAGTAGTGTCAAATCAGATCTGACTGGTACAGGGGAGATTTTTCCTCCTTCTCCAGCAGAGCATCTGGTGGATTCGAACCACACACCTCTGAGATTGCAGTCCAGCTAGTGGTTTCCTTTTTAAAGAAAACCTTGGTTACTGGTTTCAGGTGATACCAGCCTTTTCTCCAACATAAAGTTTTCTTAACATTTTAACTAGCAGTTTTAGTATTTATTGGTGGCCATTGTCTAAGAGTCATTATTACATTAAGGGTTGAAAAATTATGACTTTCCTCTATCATTCTTTTACGTGTCAGGAAATTATAAATAATAATATTCCCAGGACCACCTTAAGTTGCTGTGAATAACATTCCTTTGGGAATGTCATTGTCAGGTGCCATCTAGCCAGCCTGTGTGTGACAGAGGAAGTCCTGCAAGGTCTTGCCCCATCATCTCAGTCTCTGCTTTGTTGAGGTGTTTGCTGCAGGCTCTGTGTCAGTATGTCTTGTTGAGAGTCTTACTTTTTTTTCAGACCCTCTGCTTTATCAAGCATGTTATCTTTCTCCAAGGACTGATCTGTCTTGATAACATGTCCAAGTATATTAAATGAAGTCTTACCATCCTTGCTTCTAAGGACCATTCAGGGGTATAGTTCTCCCAAGTCAGAGACAGTTTGCTCTTCTGGAGGCCCATGGTATGTGTAATATTCTTGCTAACATTATAGTTAAAAGCACCAGTTCTCCTTTGTCCTCCCTTATTCATTGTCTATCTTCATAGGGCAATGAAGAGATTACAAATACCACGGTTTGGGTCAGATGCAGCTTAGGTGTTTGGTTTTTAAAGAATGGACTGAGCTTTTATTTTAGATACTTTCACAAAGTTTTTAAGAATCTTTCCAGTGAAGAAGACAGAACATGAAAACTGGTGATTGGCAGCTGCTCAGCTCAGGGCCAGGGCTCCTCCCTGACCATTGGTGAGCTGGAGGTGTGGACATCCCTTCCTTTATCAGCTTGACCCTCTGCTCCTGGATGGTAGCCATCCGTGTAATTGTTTTCTGATGAAGCAAACATTCCCTGAAATCATCATATTCAATCTTGCATTCCTTTTCTGCCTGGATACCACCAATCCCATGGGAACATTCTGTCTGTTCTTTTTCAAAAGCATGGCATTAGGCTGAAAGGCCGTTCTGTTCTTTGGATGGAGCGCCCTTCGTCTTCTCAATCATTGCCCCTATAGTTCTAGCACTTGAGACTTGCATCTTAGTTTTTAACTTCTTTGTTTTTTTAGTGCTTTAAAGAGATCTTTGGAAGAAGATTTGCCCAGTGCAGTGAAGCATATAATTTGAATTTTTGAAACTTGCTTCTACGGGTGTTGATTGTAGATCCAAAATAAATGAAGTCTTTAAGAGCTTCAATATTTTCTCTATTTGTCATGATGTGCCTTTTTGGTCCAATTGTGAAGACTTTTCTTTTCTTTATGTTAAGGCATAACCCATTCTGAATGTTGCAGTCTTTGATTTTCATCAGTAAGTTCTTCAAATCCTCTTTACTTTCAGCATGTTAATGAGAATTTTTCTAATCCCAATGTCATATTCTTCTTCATATAGTCCAACTTCTTACATTATTTGCTCAGCATGCAGATTGAATAAGGATGCTGAGAAGATACAAACCTGATGCATACTTCTCCTGATTTTAAACCATGTAGCATCTCCTTGTCCTATTTAAATGAGTGCTTCTTAGTCCATGCACAGGCACCACATGAGTACACTTGAATGTTCTGGAGTTTCCATCCATTGTAGTGTTATACGTAATTGTGTGTTATCCACAAAGATGAATAGCTTTGCATGGTCAATAAAACAAAGGCAAACATCATTTTGGTATATTCTGCTTTGAGCCAACATTCTTCTGACATCAGCAGTGACATCCCTTCTTCCAAATCCTCTTGGATTTCTGACACTTTCTCACTGATGTATTGCTGCAACTGTTTTTTTAATTCTTTTTAGTGTAATTTTACTTGCATATGAAATTAATGATATTGTTGGATAATTTCCACATGACATTGTGACACTTTTCTTTGGAATAAGCATGCATTTCTATTTCTTCAAGTCAGTTGATGAGGTAAGTTGTCTTCCAAATTTTTTTGCATAGAAGAGTGAATGTTTTGAGAAAGGCAAAGGAAATTCTTGGTTCTGTTTGCTTAGAGTGTCTTTTGAAGTAAATTGTTATTCAATGCAGTACAACAGAGTACTGAAATGGTACTGTATAAACTTTCAATGATGCCATTGAGATTTGTTATATGTATATGCTTAGTAGCATTATAAATTCATAGGTACTTATGTATTTTAAAATAATTCATTATAATTTTATTTTTATAATCAAATTGTTTTATGTGATGCAAACAGAAACCCCTTCGAATTAGTACTGGACTCCTTTGACGTGACCTCATTAGCCTTTAATAGCGTTCTTATTTTCTAAAACAATAAAGAATACTAGGCTCATCTTGGACATTTCCTGTCCCTGCTCTAAATCAGATATTTCACTAAGGAATCTTGGCACCTTTAAAAGACAATTATATTTAGACACCATGATTTAAGTGCCAGGATGCTGATAGGGAGGATTTGTAGCAAACAGAGCCTAGAACTAGACATATTTAAAGAGATTAAATTTATGAACTTATAAAGTCACAGTAATATTCCCAATTTAAATTTCAGACTATAGTTTCTTTTTAAAAAAAAAAACACCATGATTTATTCCAATAAAATCTTATTGTAGTCATTATGTGTTATACTGCTAACCAGAGGTCAGTGGTTTAAATCCTCCAAACCAAGGTTAGAATCAATAACACAGTAGTGGTAATGGTATTTTTTTTAATAATTTTAATGAGCATTTATAGAGATTTTGGATTTCCGTTCATTCATTGCTGCACTTCTCTCCCCGCCCATCCCTCCCCCTACCCAGTTCGCTCCTCTCTTTCAAAAGTAAAAGAAACACTCCTTCCCTGGTGCACAATCCCCCCGCACCCCTTCCACCGCCCCAAGTACATTCCACTATGCAACCTTAATTGTGGACTCTTGTGATAACCATACTACCCTATCATACATCGCTTTTAAATTATTCACTCCCTCATTTGTTTCAGTGCAGTATACACAATTTATCCAGTTTTTCTCAGTCTTACCCCAACCCTGATATCAGTCCCATTTTACAACAGTGGCACTATGCAATATTTGTCCTTTTGCATCTGAGATATTTCACTCAGCATAATGTCCAGATTATAGAGTTTCTTTAGCTTTTAAAATTTTACATTGTATTACTTCTCATACTTGTAGTTCCAAATGTGATTTCTTTTTTAATTTACTTTATACAATATGTCTATAATAGTTTCAAAAATAACAGTGCTGGGATCACTGCTTGAAATTTAAGGTTATTAAAAACAGTAAAGATTTCTTGTAGTTCTTCCCCCTAAGAACCCATTAGACATGTACAGTCAAAATACTTGGTTGCAAAATCACTTGGAAGGAGTCCTAGTGACATGTGGTTAAAATATTCTACTTTTAGCAGAAAGGTCAGTAGTTCAAACCTACCAACTGCTTCATGGAAGAAAGATGTGACAGCCTGCTTCTATAAAGATGTTAGTCTTGGAAACCCTCCTCCTCTGTTTTATAGGGTCACAATGAGTCAAAATGGACCCAATGGCTATAGAATTTTTGGAACATCCCTTGAAATGATTATTTTTCTGTTTAGATATGCCACTGACTTGATAACTCATTAATCAGATATTTTCATTTCCAAGGTTTCATTCTTGCTATATCTTTAATTTAACTTTTAATGTTTAAAACATTTAAATGATTCCAAAGCCAAATTTTTAAGCAAGTCACATTCCTAAAAATCTCACATCCTTGTCTTTTCTACCTTCTTCCCTTCCTTTTCCCTATAACTTACCATTTTTAAGAATTTCTGGCATATCCTTCCATTGGTTCTTTTAGAATATGTAAAACATTCTAAAATGTTTATATTTCTTCCTATTTATCACTGAAAGTTTAGTATATTATTACTTCTTTCCTGACCATTGCTTTGATCTCATTTAGCCATACACAATGACAATGACTATACATCATTCTACAGAGGTCTTCCTTACTTCTTTTGACAGCTGCATCATTCTGTTTCACAGCGACATCATCCTTTACTCAACAAGTTCCTACTAATGGACATTTTAGTTGTTCCAGTCTTTTGCTACTACATATTATACTATAACAAAAAGCCTTTTTACATCACTCAGTTGTTTTTGCCAACATGTCTTGGAGATAGATTCTTGGAAGTAAGATACTGGGCCAAGAGGTAAATGTACAGACTTCCGTTAGATATTTCATATTCCCCTCCACAGAGTTGGTAACATTTTCTAACACACTTTTTAATAGATCTCACTCAATAAGTTCATTGTACAGAAGTTAGAAGACTAAAATATATATATATATATGATATAGATAGAGATAGATATAGAGACAGAGATAGATAAAAAGATCTATCTATCATGGTTTAAAAATATTTGTATTGCTCTTAAGTTAGTGAAGGTGGGGACCTAGTCTGTGTGATTTCAAAGGTTAGACTTGGGGTTAATTTAGAAACTGTCATTAAGTTCCTTGGTCACATAGCCTCCATAGCACCTCATTCCTACAGAATGAGGTGTAAACATTGACTGTGGCAGGCAGCTCAAGAGTTACTCATTTAAATCCCTGCCAACCTTTGTAATCTCATTTCTCTCCCCTTTTATAATCTATAGTGCTTCTGTATAGGAACCCTTGCCCTTCACACACCATATACCTATACCTATTACTCCTGAGCCTTGAGGAGATACTCATTAACAGCTCCTGCCTAATCTTCCTTTACTTCAATTCAGTAGAAGGGAGTAGAAGGCAATATGGAGGGTTCCAAGTTCAAGGACATTACTTGATAGAGTGTAGCTTTCTACATAAATGAGAAGGGGTTGAATCCAGGGAAGGCATAGGTGAAACTGGGCTGAGGCAGCCAAGGGGTTTCATATGAGCTTGTGGACCATGAAGGACTCACAAAAGACTACTGCCAGGGTAGACCACTTCTAGGATGGTTTTTCTAAGGTTGATGGGCAGGGAGTGGGAATGGTTCATATGGGAAAAGATCATATTGGTTTTATTTATTGCTGTATTCTCAGTTGTGAATATACCTTCCAAAGCAGGCTGTCACCTACTAAACTGCTTGTTCAAATGAACCAGGTGAGATCACTCACGGAAACCTTGTGTCTGCAGGTTTGTGTCCACCGAGGCACCATCTACCCAGAAGGCCAGTTCTGGGAGGAGGGTTGTGACATGTGTACCTGCACCAACATGGAGGACACGGTGACGGGCCTGCGTATGCTGCAGTGTTCTCAGAAGTCCTGTGAAGATGTCTGTAGGTCGGTAAGTTGGGCTGAACCTCACAGAGCAGCTATCACAGAGCAGGCAGCCAGGGTGGAAGATCATGAGGGGAAGAAGGAAGAAAGGTCCTTTATTAACCTCTGGTTCAAGGCGAGAGGTGAGAAGAAAGAAGTAGATCAGGGAAGGAAAAGAGAAAATGGCTCAAGGAAAGGATTGCTGTGGTATCTGTCTGGATTTCAGTCTTGGCTTGTGTTCATGTCTGTTGTAAGCTTGAGAGGGTCATGGAGTTGGTTCAAGCAGAAATGTGTAGAGGATTAAAGGCAAAAAAGGAAGACATGGTGCTTTCTCCTCCCCTTTCCACTTTCAGACATTGCTTAGCCTGTTCTTAGAGTAGGTTATGTCCTGACTTTTCTAGGATTGTCCCAGTTTCAATGCACACAGATTGGTTATTTCCAAACCGTGTTGCTATTCTAAGGTACAGAACAGCTGACCATTATTATTCAAATTCTACTTTTATTTCTTCTTTTGGTGGCTTGCTCTTTGGGCTTCAATATATTCTGGGACACAATTTCTTGCACATTTAAGACTGATTGGACCCCAGAAAAAGTAAGTAATTGTCTGCATGGAGATTTGTGGAGCAAATTCTGCTTATTCTCTGTAAATAGATAATAATGTTAAAAAAAAAATGTTTCCAGGACAAGCAAGCAGACTCCTCTTGCTGTTCTTTGTAAATGTTAATAGCAGTGGATACAATGCTTTTGGTGCTACTTCTAAGGCTTGATGATGGAAAGCTGGGCCCCAGAGAGAATCTAGAAATGAGAGCATCCTTTCAGTTCATCTGCTTCTTTGCTTGCTCTGTTGGAACTGTGGGAGAGTGGGACTTACTAGGCACCTTTGAGAGAGCAGGATGTTGTAGTGGGCTTTTTGAAAACACAGAGATTTAGAAATCTGTTGGTCCCTGTGTGCTCACATAGGTTATGGAAAACAATGGAAATAATTTGCTATGTTGTTGTTGTTGTTATGTGCCATCGAGTCATTTGTGACTCATAGCGACCCTATGCACAACAGCCCTAAACCCTGTTCTATCCTGCGGCAACCGCACTGCCTCTGACACACCCATTCCGATTACCCCAGTCACCGAATCAATCCATCTCATAGAGAGTCTTCCCCTCCTGCGCTGTCCCTCCACCCTCCCAAGCATGATGTCCCTCTGCAAGGACCCATCCCTCCTGGCAACATGTCCGAAGTATGTCAGACGAAGCCCCAGAATCCTTGCCTCCAAGGAGTAGCTTGGTTTAATCCTCTCCAAGATGAATCTGTTTGTTTTCCTGGCAGTCCATGGTACATTCAGTACCCTTCTCCAGCACCACAGCTCAAAAGCATTCACTCTCCTTCTGTCCTCCCTAGTCATTGTCCAACTCTCTGATGCATAACAAGCGATGGCCTGTATCAGGCACACCTTAGTCTCCAGAGAGACACCGTTGCTCCTGAGTACTTTAGAGAGGTCCCTAACAGCAGACTTTCCCATCGCGATACGCTTTTTGATTTCCTGACTGCTGGTGCCAAGAGTGTTGACTGTGGAGCTGAGCGAACTGAAGCTGTGAACACTCTCAATCTCTTCGCCATCCAGCCTGATGCTACCAATTGGTCCAGTGGTGAGGATCTTTGTCTTCTTGACATTGAGCCTATACTGAAGGCTGCAGTCCTTGACCCTTCGCAGCAAGTGCATGAGGTCCTCCTCAGTTTCAGCAAGCAGGGTTGTGTCATCTGCATAACGGAGATTGTTAATAGATCTTCCACCAATCCTGATGCCACAATTCTCCTCATAGACCCCAGGCTCTCGGATAATCTGCTCTGCATACATGTTGAAAAGGTATGGAGACAGGATGCATCCCTGGCGTACACCCTTTCCAATTTTGAACCATGCAGTGTTACCCTGCTCTGTTCTGACTACTGCCTCTTGGTCCAAGTATAGGTTTCGCACAATCAAGTATTCTGGAATCCCATTCTTCTCAGAGTCAGCCACAGAGTGTTTTTTAAAGCCATCTGTATAAAATTGGCACCCAATAGATTTTGTGTTTCAGTAGAGCATCTTAATTGCCAGGAATGGAACCTATTCAAGATAGTTAAACAAAAAAGGCAATTTATGGAAAGGGTACAGAGGAGCCTCCCAGAAATGAGATGTCTGAGAGTGTGGTGGAAAGAAAGGTCAGTGGCGGGTCAGAGATCAAAGTCTCGCCTTCTGTGTAGCGGAGCCAGGTTCACTTCCTGGCCAATGCCCCTGATGGACAGTCTCCTTTCATCTACAGTAGAGGCTGCATGTTGCTATGATGTTGAACAGATTTCAGCAGAGATTCCGGACTAAGAAGGACTAGGAAGATGGGCTTAGTGATTTTACTTCAGAAAAGCAGCCAGTGAAAGTTCTAGAGATCACAGTGATCTGATCCACATCTGAGCGTGGCGGTGGGCAGGGCTGGCCAGCACTTGGTTCCCTCGTGTGTGAGGTCGAGGTGAGTCAGGTTCTGATATCACAGAACTAACAATAGTCCTATGAAATGTGTGGTGACCAGGCAGCATTTCTCTGTGCTTGTCTTATGACAGCTTGGTTCTGCATCTTTCCGCTCCCCTCCCCCAGCTCCTCACTGTAGGTCAGCTTCTTCTCTGAGGAAGTTTTGTTTTCTCATAAATTTCATTTTAACTTTATTGAATCTGCCCTCCACTGGCCATGGACTATTCAGGCCACTCTTGTTTTCCAGTGTTCATTCATATCTAATCTGATTTATTGAATCTTTGTGCTTCATATATTAAATTTGTCAAGAAAAGAATTGGTGAATATCAGTCAGCCCACAGATTGGGTCCTTCGGTTCTGGTTCTGGTCCAGTCAAATGTTGAGGATGTGCATGGCCACATAGATAGGTCTACCTAGCTAAGGGGGATGGAGGCAAAAAAGGCCATGGAAGTGGAGGTCTGGGGAAATAGATGGAGCAGGCAACATGAGGGAAAGGGTAAGGAGAAGAGTCCAGGAAGTAGATTTTGAGTAGTTACAGGCTAGAACATTGGCAGGAATAAGGGAAAAGAAAACAATGCAGAATGGAAGCATGATGTGCCCCAAGAAGATGGCAATGCAAGGGTGAGGAAGAAATCTTAGAAAGACGGTAGCTGGAAGTTAGTGACATGAATAGGTGTACGTTACTATTAAAAGTCTGTGGGGCTTTGGGGAGCAAAGCATTGTGGGGCATCTGGCCTTCATATAAACCCAGCAGCCAAGCGCTTTCATAGAGAGGTTCAAGAATGATACTAGAACCCTAAAGTCATTAATTACTCCTGTCATTGTTTTTGTAAGCTTTGTTTCTGTCTCCCATGAGATATTTTTTTAAGACATCATTTTTTATGGTATTTAGTATATTCACTTTTATAATGTAAAGTTCATAGATTGTATTATTCTAATTTGGTGGCTCCTGCGTCGTGCCTAGTATATCACAGATGCACAATAAATGACCTGGGATCTCAGTTAGAAAGCTTAGGAACAGATCAGAGCATGCTGCTCTGACGTGAATAGGGATATCATCAGGTCCCACAGAGATGGTGTGAAGTTGAATCAAATCTCTAGAGGGCTCACACTCTCCCAGAGAGATGCACGAGGCAGGCTGAAATCCAGAGTTGTGAGCATCCTTTTTAAACTGTAATTTGGTGAAAGCTTACAGAAAGCATAGGTTATCATTCATTCATGAATGCCCATTTTTTTCTCTCTCTGCCTCCCTCAATTTACTAGATTCTACTGCTTATTCCACATGCAATGTCTTATTCCAGGTTGTTGTCAAACATGTAAAGTCTAATCATCTATTTCATGTGGCCCTGGCTGCCAGTGTGCCTGGGGAGCAAGGCTTGGCATCCATACCCATATTCTCAACAGGCGCAGCGGCTCCTTCTCTGAAGGACACAGCTCCGTGATGAAGCGTAGTCCTGAGTTCTTTCTCCTCAGCTCCTGGCACAACCATATGTGCCACTGTTTTGCCTATTCTTTGTATATTACTGTAGACTCTTCAATGGAGGCTTTCAACATAATTCCCTCGTGCTTTGGCCAGATGGGTGGGGCCCTCTTAGAGGTGAGATGGGCTGGCAAACTCCAGGATGCCAGTCTCCCTGGCAGGCTTCGTGTGGGAAGTTGGACTCTGTTGGACTCTTATCTCACTTTTCCTATATATAAAAAATGCTGTGCTCCATAAACTAATAGGGCACGCACATCTGCACTTTGCTGAGTTATTGGGCTCAGGGAACTCACCTTGAACAGGTACTTCGCTTACTAGAAAGGACATTATGTCCAAATGTAGCTCCTTTGTGGGAGAAAGGGAAGGCAGTCTGCTTCTCAAGATGTACAGCCTTGTAAGTCCAGAGGGGGTCACCATGAGTCAGAATCGACAGTCAGCAGTGGGTTGGCTAGTTAGTTAGCTAAAATATCAACAGTTCTTTTGCTACAATTCACCTTGAGTTTTCTCCCCCAGTCAGTGAGGTACCCTAGATAAAGTTCAGGTTAGTTAGTTCCTGCTAAGTGAAGATTGGAAGGCCCTTAATGACCCCCATGGGTGAGGTCTTGGTCTTAAAAGAGAAGATTTCAGGGTGCAGAGTTCTAGCTTTATTTTGGTGTCACATATAGCTTGGTGATTCACTGTGTGATTCTTTCTAATTGTTTCTTGACACAATCCCTAGGCTAATGACAAAGAGGAAAATGCCCTTCCAGTTTGTCCTCTGCAGACTCTCAGGGCCCAGTATACATGTCTTTGGTGCTGGTCCGTGTTCACTCCTTCTTTCTATCCAAACAGGGATTCACATATGTTCTCCATGAAGACGAGTGCTGTGGAAAGTGCCTGCCTTCTGCCTGTGAGGTGATAATTGGCTCACCACGGGGAGACTCTCATTCCTCCTGGAAGAGTGTAGGTCTGGGCCCTGGGGTAGCGGGAAGGGGTCGGTGATGTCACTAGCCTGGGAGTCTGGGAGTTACCAGTCCACAGTCCGTGCCGATCTGAGTTCACTTTAAGATAGGCGCATGTTCCTTGCCCTTTAAATTCCCCATAGGGGTGCCTAATCCGGCTGTTGATATAATCCAACTCTCATCTAGGATTATCTTACCCCTTAGGAACTAAACAAAGTCGCTTCTGACTCCCTGTTTTGTAAATTTTGGGATTTCTTTGAAGTCCTGGGTGGTTGATGCTCTGGTCAGTTGTGAATCTGAGGTTCTGCTTCCACTCACAGTTTGGTTTCAGGAAGCATCACCCTCCTGCACATGCTGTTGTCCCACAGCCCTCCAGAGCCCTTCATGTCCTACTGAGGAAAGGGTCAGTCCCTTCCTGAACCTCTCCTCTGCCAGCCTATGCGGTGACTTCCTGGTCAGAATCATTAAGTCTCTGAGCTCAGCACACAACCATGTAGAGTCTAGAAAGGAGGGTGTCTTGGCCTCTCGTAGGGGCTTGCTCAGCTGGTTGAAGACCTCACTCAGCTAGACTCTTGGTCCTGTTGGTTCAGACCTGGACTCACCTCCAGTGACCTCCAGTAATTCCCTCTGAGGGCCTTACCCACTTCTTACGGATTGCTGCTGGCTGGTGGAATTGGGGCTTTATGCTAAGTTCCACCTCCAAGATCCACCTGCAGGACCTAAACCAGCTCCTAGAGAAAGGGAAGTGCTCACCCCTCTTCTGACCTTGGGCCTTGATCTGCCCCAGTACTTTTGACTGACTCAGGTGTCCCCCCACCCAGGTTGGCTCTCATTGGACCTCCCCTAAGAACCCCTGTCTCATCAACGAGTGTGTGCGAGTGAAGGAGGAGGTCTTTGTGCAACAGAAGAACGTCTCCTGCCCCCAACTGGATGTCCCCACCTGCCCCGTCGGCTTCCAGCTGAGCTGCAAGACCTTCGAATGCTGTCCTTCCTGTCACTGTGGTAAGGCACGCTGGCCAGGGGCTGGCTGGGCCTGCTGCCCCACTGGCAAGTGTTTCGTCCCTGACTGACTCCTCTTTGTCCTTTTAACAATCAGGGAGATGGGCAAGATCCAAATATTTTCATTTGCGTTTAATGCTTGTATGAGAAAACAAATGAGAAAGAGAACAATTTGTTGAAAGTCACTTTGTGCCCAGCGCTGTGATGAATGAGGGTGTTATGCCATTGTCTCATGTAATCTTCCAAACTGTGAGGAACTACCTCCCCTAGTACTGGTGAAGATAGGGAATGGCAGAGCTGAGGTTCAACCGCAGGCTTCCCTTCTCTGACTCTGGAGACCACGTTCTCAGTCTTATGCTGTATTTTGAGTTAGGGAAAGGCATTCCAACTCACTTGGTGGTACAGGGGGTTAAGCACGTGAATGGTCACTGAAAGGTGACAGTTTGAACCTAGCCAGGCGCTGCTTTGAGAACAAGGCTGGTGATCTGTTTCTGAAAGTTCCATCCTCACGTCTGGGGTCACCATACATAGGAATTAACTTGATGGCACCAGCAGTGACCTCTACCCACAAGCCAACAAACAGAAATGGGAACAAGAGCCAACTCTTCACATCATACCCTTCATTCCTTTCTTTTGGGATTCAATTCTAAGAGTAGAACTTTATTCTTTCATAAACTCAAAAATCCCCCCACTTATCTCTGTGAATTCACATGTACAAGTGCTATCATTTTGGAAATGGAAGAGGTCTTCTCACTAGGGGCTCACTGGTGTGGAAGCCCCCAGGGGCGGCGGCAGCAGAACCCACAAGCTCTGGAGAGAGAATGGGGGAAGGACCAGTAGCGGGAAGAGAGGGGCTCATGGGGGAAGGGAAGGTCCTACAGGCAAGCCACCGGGCCCTGCTCCCAGCCTGCATGGCTGTTCCTGCCAAGGCATGCTCTGCGTGTTCACACTCTGTGCCTCTCTCTCCCCCAGAGCCCGTGGAGGCCTGTGTGATCAATGGCACCATCATCGAGGTGAGCGGTGGCCTGAGAGTGGAGTGCTATGTGAGGAAGGGGGCAGCCAAGGCCGGCTGTCATTCTAAAGCAGGATAAGAGAATTTGGGAGACTCACCTCCAGCATAATTTCCATCTGGGGCAGGGCCTCGAGGCACCTGGGAGTCAAGGCTAGGCTGTCTCCCTAGCCCTCTAGTCCACGACCCTGTTGGGCAGCCTCCAGCCCGCAGCAGCATGTGCAGTGCAGGCACATGGCCATTCCTCTGTACACAGAGAAACACTCAGAAGGCATTCTGCACGTCTGCATTTCACCCCCATTGGCATGAAGCCCTCGCTTTTATCATTGCTGTATTCAAGGTGGGAGGGTGAGACAGGAGGAGCATCAGGTGATGGCTCACAGCAGCTACACACAGGCAGGTGGGTGGGTGGAAGACATGAGTATGAGGGGTAGGGGGTCTAGAGTATGCGGGGAAGGGGGTCTGGAGAGGGAGAAAAGTCTGACCCCACGTGCTTCTGCTTGCAGCCTGGGAAGAGTCTGATGATTGATGTGTGCACAACTTGCCACTGCACCACCCAGATGGGAGTCATCTCGGGGTTCAAGCTGGAGTGCAGGAAGACCACCTGTGAGGCTTGCCCGCCGGTAAGACAGGGTCAGCTGGGAAAAAGGGGGTGTCTAGGGGGAAGGGTACACATATTCAATGCTTGTGCAACCTAGGCAATGGGACCTTCCCTAGGGTCTTTAAATAAACCTGTCCTTATTCTCTAGTTATGGAGCTCTGGTGCCCTAGTGGGTAAGGAGTTCAGGGCCTTATGAGTCCTGTGGAGTGGATCTGGGTATCAGGACAGAGTCTGAAGCTTTGGAAGAGACCCTGAATTCTTCCTCAGATTCACCTTTGAATTCAGGAACCAACTCATAGCTGGTCCTCCAGCAGGTTTTCAGAGGCTGTAAATCACACAGGAGGAGATTGCTCATCTTTCTCCATGAAACAGCTGGTGGACTAGAACCACCTGCCTTTGGGTTGGCAGTGCAACTCCCTATCCACTAGGCCACCAAAGCTCCTTTTGTTGAATGAGTCAACTCTTAGAAGATTGTTCTGATGAATTTCTTGTGAATCAAATGCACTAAAGACTGTAATTGTTCTTTCAGATGCCATGAAGGGAGGCTTCTGCCCTCATCTTTGTGAGGCAGGGGCTGAGGCTGCTGAGGTGTATAAGGTGGGGTGAGTGTGGAGAGCAGCAAAGATGTCAGAGAGAGCGTTGGGAGGTGATGAGGATGGGCACAGAAACAAGTGGAAGCTGGTCCTCGTACTTATCATGCAGACACTCTGTGCCCTCTTGTGGACAAGGGCCAAGAGTTCTGCATCTGTGTTCTTTGTGGCCCATGGTCAGATAAGAGCATATAGCGGAGAAGAGGGTTATATAGCAGACACAGCTATTTGGTTTTTTTATTGATTAAATTTTATTAGTTTTAATGAACATTTACAGGGATTTTGGGTTTTCATTCCTTCATTGCTGCACCATTCTCTCTACCCTCCTCCCCAGTTTGTTCTTCTTCCCCGCCATCTGAATGTCTGTTTTAATTGTC